AAGTTACCTCAAGTTTCTGTTCCTCCATGTTCCCCTCTGTTCCATTTGGATCACTTTTCGCGTTATCTTGTTCATCACGAATCGATTTTGATTTCTTCAAAACCTCACCCTCTTCCAACACCAATAGCTTATTCATCTCCTCCATCGAACTCCGACGATCTTGTGACTCGAAAACATCATCGGGTAATTGCAACTGCGAAACGACGTTTTTTCCTTCCGAATACAGAGTATCCGATACACTCTCAATCTCCTCATCAGAATCTCCTATCGAAAAAGTGGGCAAAAATTCTGAAAAGGGTTCAGGTTGTTGTGGATTTGTAATTGGCAGTTTTTGTTCTGGCTCCAAAAGCGTTAAATCGTTAGTACCATCTGAGGCGGTAACTGGCTCGGTGGTTGAAGACAGGTCATTTTGTTCAAATTGCGTGGATTCTGGTTCTGAGCTAGACGGTGATAACTGGTTGATATATATATTTGCGTGTTTTTGCAACGCCAACGAAATATTATCGTTCAACGCCAGGAGATCCTCTGAATGGTAAAAGCATTTGTATCCCGTAAGCGAAAAAAAAAAAAAAATTACTACACAATTTCGTATACTAACCAAGCAACTTCTCGTCTGCAATCGATGCAATGTGTACCCTTATTTTGGATTGGAGATCCTGACATTGACTACGCAGTTGCTATCAAAAATGTCGAGAAAATGAAAATTATATAAATAAACGGCTTAAACACCAGAATTACAAAAAACTAACATATCCGATAAAACGAGACGCACCTCAATAATTTCATTGTTTTCAACTTTATCGATATTTGGTTCTTCATTGGATAACATTGCCCCAAAAACTTTGAGGCTCTCCTCAGCCAAACTCATCTCCTTTTTTATATCATCCAAATGATGAGGTATTTCTGTGGGTTGATGATTATCGGGTAAACTAGAGCCATTTGAACTCTCTCGATCTTCTTTATGAGACAATTCAGTATTCCTAACGCATGCCTGAAGAATGTCCCTTGAAAATTGTGCCGCTTCAGCATCGTTTGGCTTTTTCATAAAAATTATCAAATAAATAACATGCCACGATAATTACACAATGAAGACTAAAAAAAATAAGATAACTAACTCGAACATTAACATCCAATATACGAATGCTATGGTTCATTTTAATCGACACCGCCAGCGCCATAATACCAGCAATATCAATTTCCGAATTTGAAGTCAAATCCAAATGAACCAATGATTTTGTTTCTGGAAGATATTCAGCGATGGCAATCGCACCTAAAAAAAGACTCGCTGTGTTGAGCCAACGAACATAATTATCATTTCCTTTCATATAAACCCAACATACCTTCAGTGCCCAACTGCGTGTCCGATAAAAATAAGCCCCTTAACGTGTTGTTGTGTGATAGTGCATCTCTCAGGGCGATAACCTAATTTAATTTACCAAAAAGATTTACCACATACAAAAATAATTATAATAATTCATATAAAGCATACCCCCTCAATTGATGGTCCTCCAATTGGATTTTTACTCATATCAAGCACTTCTAAAGACTGATTATGTTTCTGTAATGAAAACCTACATGGTTATAACGGTGCATGAAACACAAAAACATATGTTATAAGATTAATACGTATACTTACCAATCCTTCGGCCATATATATCAAACACTTGGGGTCCATCCGATTATTTGGTAGGTATAATTCTCTCAGGCTTCGGTTACGTCGCAG